AATTGGTCAACGGCAAACTCCCCCACAGTTCCCCGCAATCCTTAAAACAGGGGTCTCCAGTTGTCTGTAAAATGTATGTATGACATCGATTTCTCTGTGCTTATCCAAGTTCCACAATTTACAAACTTATGGAGCAGAACTCATCTTGAGAAGCTGATAGTAGACTCGGCTACTCTTTCAAGAAACTCTACCGTGTTCACAAGAGCTCGCCGCTGTGCCCTCTCCTGAGTAGATAAATCTGGTCCACATACTCACAACGTAAATTTTAATATATATATATATATATATATATATATATATACCCATCTTTTATTAACTCTTCTAAATGTTTATCTTCCTCCCCCCATGTTCTTACTAAAACTTCGAATTTATATATTTCTCAGTTGTCTTGTATGTATATCAAATCTAAAACTTCTTGACGATGGTGAAGAGTCAATTGAATAAAAAAATTCTTGGATATTATCCATCGTCTAGTAAATATAAAACGTAAAACGACGTTTCGTTTTAGAGACAACTATTGCCTGACTGGAATTGGTCAACGGCAAACTCCCCCACAGTTCCCCGCAATCCTTAAAACAGGGGTCTCCAGTTGTCTGTAAAATGTATGTATGACATCGATTTCTCTGTGCTTATCCAAGTTCCACAATTTACAAACTTATGGAGCAGAACTCATCTTGAGAAGCTGATAGTAGACTCGGCTACTCTTTCAAGAAACTCTACCGTGTTCACAAGAGCTCGCCGCTGTGCCCTCTCCTGAGTAGATAAATCTGGTCCACATACTCACAACGTAAATTTTAATATATATATATATATATATATATATATATATACCCATCTTTTATTAACTCTTCTAAATGTTTATCTTCCTCCCCCCATGTTCTTACTAAAACTTCGAATTTATATATTTCTCAGTTGTCTTGTATGTATATCAAATCTAAAACTTCTTGACGATGGTGAAGAGTCAATTGAATAAAAAAATTCTTGGATATTATCCATCGTCTAGTAAATATAAAACGTAAAACGACGTTTCGGAGATGGGACTCTATCTCCGTCTTCAGGTTCCTACACAGAGTCCCATCTCCGAAACGTCGTTTTACGTTTTATATTTACTAGACGATGGATAATATCCAAGAAATTTTTTATTCAATTGTCTTGTATGTGCTACATGCCTATCCCATCATATTCTCCTTCATATGATTACCAGAATAGTATTTGGTGAAAAATACATTTATGAAGCTCCACTCTCTTAGGACTAAGTATTCTTAATCAGCATTCTGTCCTCAGTCGAAGTCACGAAATTTTTAGTGTATTTTTGTCTGAATGGATGGAGAATATTGGATGTACGTCCGTACATAGAAACTTGTGCCTGGGTTTAACGAGGCTCTGTTATATGCTTGCCAATTTCATATTGCATGGTTTTCTTGAGCAGATGACGCCAATTTTACAGATCAAGATATTACCTGCCTTTAAGTCACACGAGCAGATAAACTGTGTTAACTGCGAGAAGTGACCGATCTGCTAATGAACTCATAACGAAGTAGAATCTGAGGTTTTCAAAGTGGTGAGCAGGTACGATGTAGGCTGTCTGTTCAGTTGTAACTCCGTTTAGTCTAGTTGATGATTATTAATGTTATAGAGATCATTGATGCTTCCACGAAGGACTTCTGAAACGCTGGCAAACTCTTATCAGACTACACAGCACTACAACCCAGAAGATATCTGTCTTCAGATAATGAAGGCCCCCAAGTAATTCAGTATTTAATTAACATTGCTTAACTACAGAGTTTCTAAATAGTTTAGAACGGAAAACTGTTTCAGATAACATGCTTCAACTTCCGTTTTTGTTATCTGAATTAGACCAATTATAAGAACTTAAAATAAAGAAATTCATTACGTCACAGCTCTGATTCTGTAGCCAGGTGAAAGAATGTATCAAGTCTACAGGGCCCGTAAGACAAAGTTAATTATTACCATCATAATTAAGTAATAGTCAATGGACGTCTAAAAGAAGTATCATAATAATTTTAAAAACCGTCACGACAAAGAACTTGAATATAACCTGATGGTTCCAGCAGTATAACCACGTCTTCTCTGAAAATATTTCTTTGAGATTAGAGTCGTTGAGAAGGAGGGATTTTGGTTTTGCGTCATTTGGCCAGAATGCCATTGACCGTACGATGCCTGATGAACCAGCGGCCGTCAGACTGCCTTTAGAAGCCCTGTCTTCCGATAAAGAAGCATCACTGCGCCGACCCCAAGTCGTCTTCATTCAGTTGAATGCTGAGTAAGGGACACGAACTGGCACGTAACACGCTCAGAGGTATCGGCCAGGTTCGCTTACGTGTTTAAATAGAACAGGATCATTCTTCCTCATTCTGTCTCTTTCAATGTATGGATTCTAACAACCGAATGGCATCACTAAATGCATTTCACTAGGCAGTGAAGGAAGGATTGAAATTGGAATCTTACTAATTCAGAGCATTGCATTTATCCTGTGTTTATCTGCTTTTATCTACCTCATTCCTATCGGATATATCACCGTGTTCCCCGGCCGTACCATCTGTATTCGCCACTTCTGCGCCATCATCCTACTAGGCCTTATATTTATTTTATAAAACAATTTCTAGCAAAAGTAGAAAGATAATTTAGAAATAAACAGATTATTACTGCTAATTTGTAGCCTGATTTGTAATAAAAGACATTCTTTTAGCACTGTTAAATCAGCGTGTCTGCCCCTCCCAATATTTTCGAGGTACTAGACGGATTTTTACGAAATTTGGTACTAGAGGGCACTTATTTTATTTTCCAATACACTACACGGTATGCAAGGTTTTAAAAATTATTTTTTCTGCTTTTAACTTGTTTACGTTTAGTAGTACCAACGTGACAGCCGTGCAAAATTCCAGGTCTACCAACACCGCGGTATTAAGTGTATCATCCAGATAACAGATGGTAATCCCGAAAATCATGCAATTATTAAGGAAATTTTCTGTATCTGAAAAGAAGTCGACCATAACATCAAAACTAAATGCACGTGACTGGCTAGTTTCATGTTCTGGCCGCTTTACTTCCGAAAAGAAAGCCTCGTGTACCTTGGATAGAAGGCCGGGTGGGCCTCGGAGTCGGTCCGGACGTCGTAGGAAAGAGATCTGCCCTTCCCCGCCGGGAAATGAACCCTGATCATCCAGCTCGTAACCTGGTAATTATACTCGATGAGTTGCCCTGAGCTGTTCAGATGCAAACATGACGTATTCACGAGCAGAACATTAATTCGCATGTTTCTCGTGAATCCTAACAAGAAAATGTTAAAAAATTGATTCATACTCATCAGGAAAGTTTCCGTCGCCTATCAATTCCGTTCGTGTGATGTCAGACAAGAAAACATCGTCAGACGAATTTTAAACTAAGGGCACGGACCGGAGGTTTGAGACAAAGTCTTCGATACTAGATGGAGGTCTGTCTCTATGGAATTTTAATCTCGGTGAAAAATGTTCATTGCAATAACGTAATTATGCTATTTATAATACGTATGACTGCGTAAGAGCGAGACAACGCATGCGTGCTTGTATTTGCGAATAAGCAAAATTATTTTTTATTGCAGGTTTTGTAGCCCCCAAAACACAAGAACGTCGTATTGGCTCTCGACTTAGTTTCATTTTCACATTCGAGTGAAGAGAGACTCAGTGTTCCAGTTTTACTTTTTATTTAGAGACAATACTGAATTTTTCAAGGGCTGAGATGGGCTGGGTATGTGGCACGTATGTGACAGATGTTAAATGCATACAGGATTTTAGTCAGAAGACCTGAAAATAATTTACTTCTTGAGAGACCTGCATAGAATACAATATTAAAACAATTCTTGCAGTAGTGATGGTCTTGAATAGATTCGTGTGGAAGTGAAAAGCTTTTGTGAGCACGGCAATGAAACATATATTTTCATAAAATCTGGGACATTCATTGACCAGCTTAGATGCTGTTACCTGCAAAAGAGGGAACAATGCTCTGTGGAGTTTATTGGCATCGGCAATTTTCATAAATGTGTTATTTATATTTATTTAGTGTTCTGTCTGACGACAGGTCCATATGAACAGGATCCTTCCATCCTCTTCTCGGACTGGGACCTGTTCATATACGTTCTTGGCAGATGATCCAGAAGTGGTTTGCCATTGCCTTCTTCTGTGTGTGAATGGGATGCCACGGAGGAAAACTCCGTGTTGCCTAGACCACGGCCTTGCCCAACACAAGTTATAAATTCGGGCACCGCCGGGAATCGAACCCGAGACCCCAGGATTACAAGGCCAGCGTGGTATCAAATGTGTTATGCACCCTCTAAATAATGGGAGTTGAACAGGGAATGGTAAAAGTTTTATTTTGGTAAAAGTTTTATTTTAGTAACGAGTAATAAAACTTATCGACAGTGATGCACTCTGTTGGTAGTTCAATTACATTTATATACAATTCAGAATGTCAATAAATACACTACTTTAAAGAAACGCTATAAATATTTATGCTCATAATTCTTGACTTTAGGTAAGGTTTTTTTCAATTTCGAGTTATCCCGTAAAACCAAAGTTATACATTTATGATTATAATTCCTATTACAGCTTTCATGGAATTAGTCCAAATTACTTACTTCTGTTCAGTTTCTAATCTTGTATCATTGTTTATTTAAATAAATAAATTAACCTGAGTTCACTAACCTGAAGCCTCTCAGAGGAGCTTGTCAATTTTGGAAACAAAAGTATTGTCAGGAAGATATTTTTTACGTTATTTGAAAATTTTTGCAAGTATAATGTTAATCGTCAGAGTTGAAATTGATTGCTTGTTGTTTTCGTTATTATATCAGTGATCACATCACCAACAACAGCACAATTGTTTGTTATCGGAAAATCTTAGAGTAAGCCAAAATAAGAATTTCTAAAATACGAAAACTTTAAATAACTTATGACACACAGCACCGTGAACTTTATCCTGTCCCGACTGACAGCCTCTGAAGACATTCAATCCGTCAAGGTGTGCCACAGGTGGGCATTGTAAGCCATTCTGTGGGCCTGTTCAGTAGCTTTCTCCGTAAGCGACAAGGATCTGTTGTGGTCGTCGTGGTGGACAAATTTCTTGAGAGCCAAGACCGAGGACAGCACGAGAGCAACCTTTGCGACCAGCAGTGCCTTGAAGGCCAAGGCTGCCAGACTCTTGAAGGCCAGAGGTCCCACCATTGCAGCCACTGCAGACAGAGCCATCAGCACGAAGCCCATCAACTTCTTCCGACGTCTGACCCGACCTGTAACCAAAACGTCGTTCGGGTCGGAGTGCCTTACAGACATGGCATTTGTTTCAACTGAAGCCGAATCAGACATCTAGCATTTACAGCAGCGACTACATGACAGGCATACTTAGTAATAACAGATTAAAGCCGGGTGGTAAGTATATGTACCAGCTGCATCAACAACCAGTATGGATATCACAAAGGATCACAGATTTTGAGCAATGTAATCATTAAAAAAAAATTCTTTGTCTTATAAAAATAAAAACATGGCGACTGCATGAAGAAAATTACTTCACCACAATTTGACCCTACGAACCCGTATGCTACCACAGGGTTAAAGCACCTTAAAGAAGACTTTAAGACCATGCAATTTGAGAATTTTATTTCTAGTTTATTTAAAGTCGACTTTCCGGTAGCTCAGATTAAACAGCGTCGAATGCGCGAATGGAAAGGATGTGGATGGCAGAGGTCGTGGTCTGATTTAGGGTATTATTACATAATTTGCCTTGAGGAACTGAGAATTACCACGACCTTTCGTGATTTTTATAGGCTGAGATTAAAGTTAACTATGCAAGATAAGTAACTTAATCTTTTATCGATAACTCATCATTTGCAAAGAAAGAATGAATGAGTTACAGTCTTTTTGGTTCAGAGGTCGCCGAATTAGATGGAAAATGATCATGGATTTAGAAGGAGACGGTCCAGAAAAGAAGCGTAAATCGTTACAGCTAGACCAGTGTGAGATGAAGCCGACTTGCTACAATCGATAAGATACAAAATTTTGTCTCATCTGAGGTTCTCACAGCGGTGAGTACGAAGATGACTGCCTTCTGGGTTTTAGAGCTCCTCTGACCTCTGAAACGTCGGTAAACTTATACACTTCTACCAAACTACACGGCGCTGCAGCCAACAAGCCAGCCTCCCTTGAAGTTAGTATTATTGGTGTATGTATTTCCTAACTAATTCCATGAATCAGAGACAAATACTAATTATCAAACAGCTGCTTAAGAAATTATCCTCCTTTTATAATAATAATAATAGGTTAATTAACGTACTCATTACAGCCCGCCACTACTCTCAATTCTGAGTCATATTAAACCAGGTGTTCTCATATAGTATTTTTTTAAGGTTAATTTTAATATTATCCTCCCATCTAGGCCCAGATCTATCAAGTGTTGCCTTTTCTTTAGTTTTCCTTATCCATTTCCCATACTTAAGAATTATAGTCCCAATTGATTTAACAAGTCATTATAGAATTACTTCAATTGACCTTGGGGTATTTCGACTAGTTATAAGAACACATAAAGTTGACTTCATCTCATACGAAGCCAATCATACCTTCTTGGACGGCCTGCTCTGAGACGTCCATGACAAGCGTGTGGTTGGCCAAGAAGTTGGACAGACGATCGTAAATCATTTGGTCAAGTTTCTCGTTCTTGTGGCTCCAACCTCGAGGGAGAGTTGTCTCCAGTTCAGCTTCGCTTATTGCTGGCATCTCAGCAACCTCCTCCGGTTGACGAGCCAGCGACACTCCTGTGAACAACGGGATACTGTCCAGCCTCGCCGCTCGGTCCAGGAACGAGATCGCTTTCGTCTTGAGGCACGTGATTCCATCTTCACTATTCATGCAATCATCCAACACCTTCTGGATAACCCTGTACTCTGTCCTATCGGCAAATAGGGTCCATGATGAAGAAGTCTCTTCCTGGGATCTCGCAGATTTATCGAAATCAGCAGCCGGAAATGAAACAGGACTCCATTTGCCATGTTCCATTCTAGGCAGACTTCTTAAAGCGGCTACAAAATTCGCCGATATTAAAATTGTAACTTGAAGAATAAAAAGGATAGGGCGATTCCTAAACATTTCCGTAGTCATTTCACACATCCAGGTGTGAACAGTCGGGCTGTAGTTGGAAAACTGACGCATCTCGGACTGTCAGGCGTTTTTAAGCAGTCTTCGCCTGTTATTACGTCAATAATATGTGGTGCATGAAACTGGATTTTTCGGGCATTTGGTTGGTGTTGGGGAGAATTTTTTTTTTTTTTACAATATCTGATAAGGACAAATGAAAACGATACACGCTTATGTTATGGTTTCATAACTCGAAGCGCGTGGACCGCGACATTTACAGCAAGAACGCGCGATGAAGCACGTGTCCCACTGGCACACAACACGAACGTCCATTTACAATAAACGCAGAACTGGGGCCCACGCTGAATTCTTTCTGCGGTCAAATTGAGTTTGTCTTCATTATCTTCAGCACAGATTACATCTTTGTAAGTTATCCTCTGACCTATTTTGATTGCAGTCCTGCAGTTCGTCTCTTTGTTAAGTTTTCCAGTGATCACGTTTAATATCGTCCTAGGCCTTAGTCTTCCTTCCTTCCTTCCTTCCTTCCTTCCTTCCTTCCTTCCTTCCTTCCTTCCTTCCTTCCTTCCTTCCTTCCTTCCTTCCTTCCTTCCTTCCTTCCTTCCTACCTTCCTCCATGGCTCTACGGTCCTCTGAGGACCTTGGCCTCCCTAAGCCTCAGTCTTCACGAGGCACATTTCTCCAACTCTCATCTTGTGCCCTGGCCCACAGACAGGCTGGTCTAAACCCAGAGTGAGAATAAGAGCTCTGTACGAGGTGTGATCGGAAAGTTTCTAGACTGTGTCAATAGAGGGCGAACCGGATGTAGTACGAGCTTCTGCCGCTATGGGGTTGGGCCTACATTCATAGTGAATCAGTGTGCCAGCCGGCATCATCAAATTAGCATTTGTTTCTTAGTTACGGGCGTTTTGGTAGTGCATTACACCGACCCTCCTGCGATTTCGGAATGGCGTGTGCATCAAATTTTGCCAAAGACTCGCCAAAACGGCTACGGAAACCTATGAAATGCTAAAGCAAGCATTTGGGGAGTCCGCAATGGGTCGTGCACAAACGTTTGTGTGGCATTCACGTTTTAAAAATGGCCGAACCTCTGGCGATGATGACGAGCGTTCTGGACGACCATCTTCGAGCACAACGCCCGAAAATGTTACGAAGAGTCGGCAGGCCATTCACGAAGATCGACGTCGTACCATCAACGACTTGGTCGACATTGTTGGGATAGGCTATGGGACATGTCAGCTGATTCTAAAGGAAGAACTCCACATGCGAAACCAAGGCTCCTGTCTGAGGACCAGAAGCAGAATCGACTTCTCGTTTGTCAGGAGCTCAAAGATCTTGCAAGAACCGACCCCAACTTCCTTCCTAAGCTCCGTGTGACTTCTTCCTCTTCCCAAAGATGAAAATTCAGCTAAAGGAAAGGAGATTTGAGACGATAGAAGAGATTCAGGCAGAATCGCAGATGGTGCTTGACAGGCTGACAAAGAAAGATTTCCAGGGATGCTTCGAGACTTGGCAGCGGCGCTGGGATCGTTGTGTTCACTCCCAGGGGAACTACTTCGAGGGTGATGGATGAATTTAATACCTGAGATAAGTGTACGGGTTTTTATACGCGCAGTCTAGAAACTTTCCGATCGCACCTTACTTCATGCAGCTCTCTGCATGTGAATACAGCTCCTTCTTCAGGGCTAAAGTGAACACTTTGTTGGCATTTACCAACGAGTGTGAACGGGGACAAAATCCAGAACTACATTCTTATTTCTTTTATTGTAAACAACATTAAGCTCGTCATTATCGAATTTCCATAGGCGCCTTATGCCCAAACACTAGCCCAGAATCTTTGGGAGATCAACACGTGGGCCACGACACCGGTGAGGGCAGTTCGGTTTGGCTGCAGTTGAGCCGGACCGTGTGTTCAGTTTCATTAAACAAGTAGGAAACAAGTGAAAGTGGAACGCGTGCTGTTATACCGGCTTCACACTTAATAGCCGTAAATGCACAACACAAGAAGTCTTTCTTAATTTGATCACTACTCGTTCTGGTAGCGAGTTTTACGGATGCCTGATAAAGATGATAAAGAAGGCATGAAAGAAACTTTCATGCCTTCTTTATCATTCCCTCTTTCTTGATTCTTTCATGCCTTCTTTATCATTCCCTCTTTTCCTGTTCTTTTCTCAAAATTTGCCAGGAGTTTATTTACAAGTTTCCTTACTCTTTCGTGCTATCAGCAAAAATACTGAGTACGAATCACAGAGCCATTTCCGTAAAAAAACAGTTCAGTTAGTAGGATTTGACGTTTACTCGGTGGTGAGTTTGAAGATGGCTGTCTTCTCGTGATATCAGCAAAAATACCGAGTACGAATCACAGAGCCATTTCCGTGAAAAAACTGTTCAGTTAGTAGGATTTGACGTTTACACGGTGGTGAGTTTGAAGATGGCTGTCTTCTTGATTATCTTCCTGATGATGGACGCAGCAAGGACCTCTGAAACGTTGGCAATCTTCTACCAGACTGCACGGCGCAACAACCCAGAAGACATCCATCAATATTTTGCTTCAAAGCGAAATCTTCCTTAATTTGAAAAATCACATGAACGTCACAGGAGTGAGTAGTCCAACCACAGCTCAGTTACACGATCACTACACAGTGCATTCTACTTCCAAGGACACACAAGGAAAATAAAAATCTTTCTTAGATTATTCAACGACGATGTTTCAACTACAGGTTAGCATTAACATTCTTGCTGAGTACATAACGTATTACAGTAAGGTCTGAGATTCTCACGGCTGCGAGTATTAAGATGACTGTCTTTTGGGTCCTTGTTCCGTGTAGTCTGGTAGAAGTTTACCGACGTTTCAGAGGTCCTTGCTGCCTCCATCATCAGAAGTAGTCTGGTAGAAGTTTACCGACGTTTCAGAGGTCCTTGCTGCCT